TCGGGTGTGCCCCCCCAAAAAAAGAAACAAAGATAAAATTAAAAAAAAACATAATTAACCCCCTAAAGAAAATATCCTGTCTCTCATTTATCTACTAAGATTTCTGTAACTTCTGGAAGAAAGGCAATCAGTTCTTCAAACATCCTGGTTGGAGTTATACAGAGACATTGTATAAGGGTCAATGTCTTGTTTCCTTTACCACCAGAGGGCGCCAATCTGTCAAGTCAGTCTCTATCATGAAACAACATGAGCAAGTTCCAGGAAGCTGTTTCTGACACTGATTCCTACAACAAATATGTTTTGAGGACCTACTATAGTAGCTTATGTATGGTTATGAACTGTTGTCCTTATAGAATTTATAACATTGTACTGGAGAGACACTATAGTCCGAAGGGTGCTGCCTTACACAGGCTGACCCAGGTTCAATCCTGGGCACCACACAAAGGACCCCCTCGAAGCCCTACTAGGAGTGATCCCTGAGTGCAGGGCTAGGAGTATAAGTCCTGAGAACTACTGGGTGTGGCGCCAAATTCAAAAACAACAACAATAACAAACAGAATTCATGGTGCCAGGAAGATAGTACATTGGGAAAGGTACTTGCACACAGTCAAACTAGGTTCTATTCCCAGCACCCCATATGGTCCCCTGACCATTACCATGGGTGATTCCTGCATGCAGAGCCAGGCTAAGCCCCAAGAAAAAGCTAGATGTAAAAAAAATATATATATATATACGCATATATATATATCATCAGAGCAATAGCACAGCAGGTAGGTGTTTGCCTTGCACGCAGCTGATCCGGGTTCGATTCCTCCGTCCCTCTCGGAGAGCCAAGCAAGCTACTGAGAGTATCCCGCCCTCACGGCTGAGCCTGGCAAGCTCCTGGTGGCATATTTGATATGCCAAAAATAGTAACAACAAGTTTCACAATGGAGTCGTTACTGGTGCTCACTGGAGCAAATCAATGAACAATGGGAGGACAGCGCTACAATGCTGCAATATATATATGTATATGTATATACATATATATTATCTTGAGCAACTACTCTCTCACATATTGGGGGTGTGGGCTGTGGGGAAGAGGTTGGGGAGATTCAATTTAAGAATTTTTCTTGGTGTTTGTTTGTTTGTTGTTGTTGTTATTGTTTGGCTACACCAGTGGTACTCGGGACTTTCTCCTCTGTGCTCAGGGGACCATATGGGGTGCTGGGATAGAATCCAGCTCAGCCACATGCAGGGCAAGTGCCCCACCCACTGCAGAGTCACTCCAGCCCTAGTTGTTTTTATCAATGGTCCTACTCATCCCACCCCTACCCCGCCCCTTCAATGCAGTGGCTGGAACCCAGGGCCTCATTCATGCGAGGCAGGTAGGTACTGAGCCATATCTACCACTGAGCCATATTCTGGGGCCAGTCTTGGCTATAAGCCCAAGAGAACAATTACTTAGTGTCTGTTTTGTGTCAAGACCATGTGCTGGTGGTTTAGAAATGGGCTGAATGACACAACTGCAATCTACCAACAGTCTTACCACCTAGGACAAAAAAGCATGACAAAAGACCTATGAAATTCTAGTTCGATGGAGAATGAAGTACACCACTCATTAACACAGTAGGTCATGAGTGTCTCCAAACAGGTATGCATTTCTTAGTCACTCAGTCTAGGGTCACAGCAACTGTGGTTATTCACTCAGTCAGTGAGCTGATTTATCCCAGGAAACAGTTTCTGGTGTGGGTGCCAGGTACATGTTCCAGTGAGTTACAGGAGGGATTTACCCACCTTGTGGGTCAGGGTGGGGCTGTGCTGAGTTTATGTGGGTGAGATGCTTTGAAGATGAACTTTCAGCCTATTTGTCTACTCATAGCCTTGTTATTAAAGGTGTCAACACCATCTCCCACATTTCCAGGTCAGCAATCTGCTTGTCCTTAAATTGAGAGGTGGTGGAGGGGAAGTCGGAACCAGTCCGACACCATCATTTGGGGGAGGAGGTGCTGTCACGTTGAAATCACTCCCTGGCTTCTGAGGTAAGCTCTAATGCCAGTGGAATTTGATCTCCTAGAGAGTAGATTTGAAAACTGCGTTCTTTGCAACTCAGAGAGCTCTGAGAAATAGCACAATAACAACAAGATGTAGGGGGCCTTCCGAGTGCACTGTGTGCATGACTTTCTTCCCTGGAGTACATACAGTCTGCAACAGAGGCATAAAAGAGATCCTATAGGCATGAAGTCATATTGGTATTATCTGCCCCTGACATTAGTTTTGTAATCCCCTTCCTTCCCAAAACATTGTAAGGGCCAGGCCTCGGATGTGGTTTGGTGATAGAGTGCCTTACTTACATGTTTGAATCTCTGGGTTTGATTCCTGGTAACACATGTGTGTGCGTGCGTGTGCGCACGCACACACACACACACACACACACACACAGCAACATTAAAGTTGTCAGTTAGGCGCCAGAATGATAATACAGCAGGTAGGATGCTTGCCTTATACACAGTCAACCCAGATCTGATCCTCAGCACCCCATAGAGTCGTCTGAGCCCCACCAGAAGTGATTCCTGAATGCAGAGCCAGGAGTAACTGCTGGGTGTGCCTCCCAAACCATAACCGAAACAACAACAACAACAACAAAACAACTGTCAGGTCATCAAAAACAAGAATCAGCACAGTCAAGTAGAACCTAACAAAAACATGAGGACTGTATATGTGTCCCAGATGGGATTCTGGCACAGAAATTAAAGAACATTATGTAAGATGGAAATAACAGGGAAAACTGGGTGAAAGGTATATATGGGAAATTTTGTACTATCTTAGTTTAAAGTTTTTAGCTTTTGGGTGCCACCTAGACATCCAGGGGTTACTTCTGGCTCTGTGCTCAGGAGTCACTCCTGGTGTGTTCGGGGAACCATATGGGATGCTGGGGATTAAGCTGGGGTTGGCCAAGTGCAAGGCAAGCACCCTAAACTGGTGTACTGTCACTCTGCCCCCTCAATTTTTTTTTTAAGTATAAAACTAAATGGTGTAAGATGAAGTGGTACAATTCCTACTTGGTTCTTGTTTTGCACTGTGCTTCATTCCTGACACCATAAACAAAGAGAGAAAAAGCTGCTGAAAATAGAAAAAAATCTATTAAAAATGGATGGATAGGAACCAGAGAGGAACAGGGCTTAAGGCACCTGCCTTGCATGTGGTTGACCCCAATGTGAGCAACCCACCAAGTGCAGAGCTAGGTATGGCCCCTAAGCACTGCTGGGTGCCACTCTACCCCCATGCTTGAGAGGTAGTGTTCTGAGTACAGCTACACTTTATTTTTCTTTTCTTTCAAGTTCTGAGGACTAGGGATGTTGTAGTCCTTGGTAATGTATTAGCCTCACAGTTGTGAGACCCTGGACTCCAACCCTGGCACCAAAGAGTTAAAAAAAAAAACCACACACACCAAAACTCCATTTAATAAGAATCATTTACCATGTGCCAGATGCTATATATAGAGCTCGTATTTAGTCTTTACAATTGTTAGGTATAATTAACCCTTGAAGGAAGATGATGAAAAGGAAGCTATATTGTAAACGATGGAGTCATTCGTTGTGATCCTAAAATTCTGAGTATGTTGGAGTCTCCCCTTAGGATTCTTCCCTAGCAAACGTTTAAGCATTCCCGCCCTGCCCCCCCCCCCCCCGCCCCCGCCCCAGCATTGATCTACCGTCTCAAAAGTTCTTAGCTCAGGAGGTCAAATTTCAACCAGCAAACGCATTTCAGCCTGATCAAAGGGTAAACTGAGGGACAGCCAGAACATTCGCCCAAAGCATGGAGGAGAGCAAGTCACTCGGGGTGTCTGTATTATTTCCTTATTTCCCCCGCAACTTCCTCTTTGCAGTTCAGAAGGGAAGGGAAGTTCAGATGGGTCAACCCTCACCCCCTCACCCATCCTCCGAGAACACACAGTCATGGAGGGGAGGACGTGCAGGGAGGACGTCGTGGGGGTGGGGTGGGGTGGGCTCGATTTCACCAGTGGGTGAGACGCCCCCGCCCCTCCTTGTCTGGCACAAACCAGGCCAAACCTCCACTGGGTGCAGGGATGGCAGATTGTCCAGGGGAGGGGCCCGAGAGGCCCCAGATGGTGGAGGCCAGCGGGGGAGGGGAGGAGGAGGGCGCCAAGCGCACTTGGGCCGCAGGGCTTTTCCCCTGGGCGTGCACCGCGGCGTCCACCCGCACCACCGTCACGGGGTGGGGGGGTGGGTCCTGAGGCCTAGCTCGGGATCCTTCCCCACCCCCTCCTCCCCCACAATCCAGCAGCCGCTGGGGCCTTCAAGCGCCGGTGCGTGCGTGTGCTTGCGTGCGTGTGTGTGTGCGTGTGCGTGCGTGTGCGCGTGTGTGTGAGTCTGGGGGAGGGGGGACACGTGTCGGCGTCACAAAGCGCAGACACCGCGCCAGGCGGGCGGCGGGGAGGGAGGAGGCGGGGAGGTGGGAGGAGGCGGAGGCGCAGGGACGGGGAGGGCGGGGCGCGCGCAGGCGCCGTGGGGCCGCCGAGCGCACCCCCCACCCCCTCCCCGCGCCCCGTCCCGGCGCGAGTCCCTCCTCCCTCCCTCCCTCCTCCTCCTCCTCCTCCCCGTCTCCCTCCCTTCCTTCTTCTCTCGGCTCCGTCGCTCCCGCGGCGCGCGGCGCTCTCGCTCGCCTCCTCCTTCGCCGCCGCCGCCGCCGCCGCGCCCCTCCCCCGCGCAGCAGCCGCCGCCGCCGCCGCCGCCGCCGCGAGCCCCCCCGCCCGCCCCGCGGCCCCCCGAGCGGGAGCGAGAAGGAGAGGGCGAGCGGGAGAGCGAGCGCGGCAGTCCCGGGCCGGCCCGGCCCCCCTCGCCGCCTCCCCGCCGCCGTCCTCCGTGCGCCCCCCACCCCCACCCCCCAGACCCCGCCGCGGCCAAGTTGAGGCCCCCTCCGGGGGGCAGGCCCCGAATCCCCCCAAGTCGCAGTCGCCGCGGCCCCCCGCGACCCCCGCCCGGGAGCAGCAGCGGGAGGAGGAGGAGGAGGAGGACGGGCCGGGCCCGGGCCGGCGCACGGTCGCTCGGGGCCCGGCGCCGAGGGAGGGGCCTGGTGCGGGCCGGCGGCCCGGAGCGTGGGGGGCGAGCACGGGGCCCGGCGGCGCCGCCGCGATGGCCCAGCAGCAGATGACCAGCTCGCAGAAGGCCCTGATGCTCGAGCTGAAATCGCTGCAGGAGGAGCCGGTGGAGGGCTTCCGGATCACGCTGGTGGACGAGTCCGACCTCTACAACTGGGAGGTGGCCATCTTCGGGCCCCCCAACACCCTCTACGAGGGCGGCTACTTCAAGGTACGCCCTGCCCCCGCCCCGGCCGCCACCCCCCGCGCCCCGATCCCGCGCCCCGCCGGGCCCCGGCCCCGGCCGGCCCCGGCGCGAGCGAGGCAGGCCCCGGTGGCGGCGGCGCCCACCCCCGCCGCGCCGGCCGGCCGGCCGCGCGCCCCCGACGCCTTCCCTTTGTCCGGGGGGGCGGCGCGGCGCCCCGGCTCGGCCCCGGGCCCCCCGGAGGCGGCGGGGCGGGAGGCCCCGGGCCGCCTTTTGTGTTGCGGGCCCGGCCCGCGCCGCTCCAGAGGGGGTCCGGCTCGCCGCGCCGTCTGGAACTGCCCCAGAGGGCAGGGTGACCTGCAGCCTCCCGGGCTTGGACCTCTGCTGTTATTTTTCGGGAGGGGTGGGGTGGGGTGGGGGTGGGGGAAGGGTGGTCGCCTGTCATGCCCCGGGCTGCCTTGGTGGTGTGACCCGAGCCGGGCTTTGCGGGGTGGTGGTGGTGGTGGTGCCGGTGCCCCGGCTGCGTGCGTGCCTTAGGGGCTGCTTTCTACTCGGCGCCCCCCCCTCCACCCCACCCCGTGGGCACCCACGAAGCGGGACCCTCGGCGCCCACACACGCGCGCGCGCTCACACACACACACGAGGCGGGTGCCTGCGTGTTCTTGCTATTGTCCACTTGGGGAGAACTTGCATCTTAGCCCGCTCCCCACCCTACCCCTCTTCCCCCCCACGAGTGTGTCCTCATCTTATTTTAGTGCTCAGTTTCCAAAAGTGCCCTTTGTCCTCACCCTGCCACCAACTTCACGGCCTCGCCTCGTCCCCCCCCCCCCCGCGGAGAAGTATCCGGAGTGGGGGGCGGGGGGACCGGCCCTGGATAGGGGCGTTGAGAGTTTGCCGCTTTGGGGGGCCGAGGGGGGGGACACAGGGACTGGGGACCGGGACCAGGGCGGGACAGGACGACGCTGCTTTGGCCCGGGTGCTCTCCTAGGTGGAAGGAACTGCGCTGAGCCGCTGTGAATTTAGTACGACGATTCCTTGGTAACCGAGGACCTGAGGTTTTTCCAAAATTTCAGGCTAGTGAGAAGGATCATTTCAGATTAAAGGGATTTAAATTAAAAACAGAACAAAACAAAAAAAAACCCCAAAAAATCCCTTCCGAGATAGGGAATTTGGTGATATTGAGGATTTTGTTTTGTTTTGTTTGTTTACCGTTTTTGAGAGACCAAGTCGCAGATAGTTGGATGTAAGTTGTGGTGTCCAGGGACCATACCTGGGGCCTCACTCCTGCAAGGGAAATGGCTCTAGAACCCAGCCACGCGTCTGGCCTTCAACTTTGGATATTTTTTTAAATACTGGGGGCAGAGACCCCAAAAAATGAATACTTTCAGGAAACCATTCCATTTTGTTTTTTTCTCTTCCAAAATTAAATAAAATAGAGCAGTGAGTCAATCTTTGTTTTGAAGGGAGGGGCTATCTTGGCAAAAGTTTTAAATCAGCATCTTAGTCATGTAGTAATGATGTGTATTTTTAGGACTGTCCCATTACTTTTCTTTCTTTCTTTCCTTTTTTTAACCAGTTTTAAGGTAGAAGTATTAGTTTCATGCTTGAGGTGGGGTTAGCTTGGCAGAAAATGTAATGGGAGAATGTAAGATCTGTTTCTGGGATGGTGGTGGTTGACTGCCTAGTAAAATGTGAGAATATTGTGTAAGACTGTATTCTTCTCTGCTGTGTGCTTCATGTTTTCTTTGTTCTTTTTTCCCCCCTACGTTATCCAGCTCAGTATTGGGGTATCGTTCCCAGTGGATACTGGGGGACCCTATGATGGCTGCCATGAGCTTGGGCCTCCTACATGCAAAGCATGTGTTCCAGTTGTTGAGCTAGCTCGCTCTCACGCTCTCCCTCTCCCTCTCCCTCTCCCACTCCCATCCTGTGTCGCTTCATGTTTTATGGTCACAGTGTAGATGAGGGTACTTAAAATCTCTTAGTAAACATTCAAGTCATTAGTGACAGGTTGGAAAAGGAATTGCCGTATCCACGATGAGATGAAGGCTATTACTCTTATCAAATATTTGTAGACAGTAGAAAAATTTAGTTGCCTGGCCCCCAAACCATAAATTACAATAACAAAGCGGGGGGGGGGGGCGCAGAGAGAGAGCGTGCAGAGGTAAAACGCTTGCCTTACATGCTGCCAAACCTGGATCTAATCCCCAGCACCTGAGCGCCACCACCGAGGTGTGATAAAGAAACTCTGTGAATGAAAATAATGGGTCACAGATTGTAAGGTTTTTGTTTAAGTAATGGGAAAAGAGTGTGGAGAGAAACTCTTTAATAGGTAAATATTGAAGGAGCCTCTGTAGCATACACTTTTCTAGGGCCTGGATTCTTAGTACAGCAGGTAGGGCATTTGCCTTGTACACGGCCGACTCGGGTTCGATTCCCAGCATCCCATACGATCCCTTGAGCGCTGCCAGGAGTAATTCTTGAGTGCAAAGCTCAAAATAAACCCTGTGCATCGCCAGGCGTGACCCAAAAAGCCAAAAAAAATTTTTTTTTTTCATTTCTATTAAGAAAGGTTTTATTTTATTTATTTTTGGCTGCACTCACCAGTGCTCAGGTCAGGTCTTACTCCTGGTGGTACTTGGCAGTCATGTGCAGTGCTGGGATTGAACTTGGATCAGCTGTGTGCAAGGCCAAAAGCTTTACCATGTGCTATGCTCTGGCCCCTTTTCTTTCTTTCTTTCTTTCTTTCTGGCCCCTTTTCTTTCTTTCTTTCTTTCTTTCTTTCTTTCTTTCTTCCTTCCTTCCTTCCTTTCCCTTCCTTTCCCTCCCTTCCTTCCTTCCTTCCTTCCTTCCTTCCTTTCTTCCTTTCTGTCTTTCTGTCTTTCGTCCTTCCTTCCTTTCCCTTTCTTTCTTTCTCTCTTTCTTTCTTTCTATAAGGCTTTTGTGACATGTACAGAATGTTTGAAAATTCCTAAGTAGGTTTTATGTTTTAATTTTGTTCAGTAGCATTTTCTTCCCCACTGTATGGGCTTTTGTCCTAAAAGTTTTTCATTAAAGAGAGAGTTTTATGGTCATGAAGAGTTAACTACATTGCACTGGTGATAGGTCTAAAAACCATTGTTTTTTATTTTACTGCTTTTGTTGTAAAACAAGGCTTTTAGTGTGTTCCATTACAGCTGCAGTTAGAAGTTGGCACAGAGCTTTCTTTATTTTTTTTCCCCCTTGATTTTTGAGCCACACCCTGCAGTGCTCAGGGATTACTCCTGGCTTTGCACTCAGGAATCTCCCCCCCTTGGGGTCCAGGGGACCATATGGGATACTAGAGATTGAACCTGGGTCGGCTGCATGCAAAGCAAGCTGCCTTACCTGCTGTACTCTCGCTTGGGCCCAGCACAGAGCTTTCTTTACCACTTATAAAGTGACATTTACTGTAATTTCATGTTAAATTTTTTAGTTTGCATGTTGGCTTCTGTAGGTCGTGATTCTTAGCATTTTCATAATGTCTCTAACTTTTACATATTGTTGTTGTTGTTATTATTATTATTATTTTGCTTTTTGGGTCACACCCAGCGATGCACAGGGACTAGGGACTCTTGACTCTGCACTCAGAAATTACCCATGGTGGTGTTAAGGGGACCATATGGGATGCTGGGAATCAAACCCGGGTCAGCCGCAAGGCAAACACCCTACCGCTGTGCTATTGCTCCAATCCTTTAACTTTTGCTATTTTTAAACTATTAACTGATCTTTTTCTGCTTGCTTTGATTCCAAACCAATTAAAAAAACTTTGGGGGAGTTTTTTGGGCCATACCCAGAGATGCTTGGAGGCACCTTGCAGCTTGGACTCAGGGGTCATCCCTGATGGGTGCTTGGGGGACATTGGTTAGTTAGCCCTTGTAGAATAAGCCCCTTAACCCTTGTACTAGCTCTTCAGGCCAGACTTCAGTCTATTTTGACTATGATAGCCAATTATAATGGAGATTTGTGAGACTTGTATTTCACAAAGAAAAATTTTTTAAGTGAATCACTGTGAGATACAGTTACAGACTTACAAACTTTTGTGATTATGTTTCAGTCATACAGTGGTCGAGTACCCATCTCTCCACCAGTGCCTGTTCACCTCCATGTTCCCAGTATCCATTCCGCCAACCCCACCCCTTTCTACCCCCTGCCTCTGTGACAGGCACATTCCCTCTTATTCTCTCTCTTCCTTTGGGTGTTAGTGTTTCAAAAGCATTTGTAAATGAATTTTGCAGTTCTTGAAAAAATATCTTGAGGTGGGACTGGAGAGATAGCACAGCGGGTAGGGCGTTTGCCTTGCACGTGGCCGACCCGGGTTTGATTCCCAGCATTCCATATGGTCCCCTGAGCACTGCCAGGAGTAATTCCTGAGTGCAGAGCCAGGAGTAACCCATGTGCATTGCCGGGTGTGACCCAAAAAGCAAAAAAAAAAAACAAAACCAAACTTGAAGCTCTGTGATTTTTTTTTTATTTGGGGGAGGGGGACCACACCTGGCTGTGCTCAGGGCTCTTATTCCTGGCACTGTGCCGTGGACTCAGTCACTCCTTAGCAGGACTCGGGGGACCATATGTGGTGCTGTCAAACCTGGGTCGACAGCATGTAGGGAAGTGCCCCACCTGCTGTACAATCTCTGGCCCCCAAACTCTATAATTCTTACAGGGTTTTAGGGGTTTACAGGTGGGGTAGATAATGGACAAGGTCTAGTTTATTTTTTTTCTTTTTCTTTTTTTTTTCTTTTTGGGTCACATCTGGCGACGCACAGGGGTTACTCCTGACTCTGCACTCAGGTATTATCCCGGGCGATGCTCAGGGGACCATATGGGATGCTGGGAATTGAACCCGGGTCGGCCGCGTACAAGGCAAATGTCCTACCCACTGTACTATTGCTCCAGCCCCTCATCACCTTTCTTTCCTTTTATTTTAACCCCCTTTTAAAACGTGTGTGTGTGATTTTGGGGCCACAGGGATGACTCCTGGCTCTGTGTTCAGGGATCATCTTGTCCGA